GCAAGTTTAGTACAAATACAGGTATGGAGTACTTCCTACCCTTTTGAGGGTCATCAGTCCTCAAGAGCGAAAGTAACATACCATAATGCAGAATACAAACCAGCTCTGATAACAAGTTGTAACACCCTACCCAGTGGCGGATACATGGACCATTAGGGGTGTCCCGGGACACCCCTAAAATTTGGGATAACGATTATCCAACCTCAAATAATAGTTTCGTATGGATAAAAAATTATAATCGGTAATTCGGGACACCCTTAAATTTTAAAAAAAATGATTATCCTAATCTCGGTAGTAATTTGTGTATGATTAAAAAAATATAAGTGGTACTTTGTATTATTCAAACCTAGAACACTACTATTATTAAACATATTCTATAGGTTTCAAATCGTTTCTTGTTCTATTTTAAGCACTATAAAATAGTAAAAACATTATTCCTTATCCCCAATTATTTTCAAAACCTAACAATTAAACTAATTACGGGTTATCCTTAATTTGAATTGATTTCATGATTACACGACAATAGTTAAAAGAGTCTTTCTACTTTGAGTTACATCAAGAACAAGGTTAGAAATCGAATATGTTATCAGTTCGTGCATTATTGTCTAGTATGATATATAGATTTGTTGAACAATGTAGATATTGAGTCTATTTTATATTCTTTTTTCAAAATATGAAAATACGTCCTAATCTTTTGTTAAAATATGTACTAGTCGGATATTTTCCGATTTATGAATTATTTAATTAATTTTTAATTTAATTTTTGGAAGAGGTCACCCCTATATAAAAATCATGGATCCGCCACTGACCCTACCCTATACGTTTTGCCTGATCGTATTGTTCATACAATTGCAGCGAAATGTAAAACTGTTGTTACATTAATTACCAAAATTTACCCAAATAAAATTTCGACATGAACTACTCACATAATGGGCTAACAGTTCTTTCAACTAAAGCTGCAAAATAATTCATCTGAATCCCTATATTCGTTGATATAAATATATATCCACAACCATATACATTGGCTTTCATAGCCATAGGCACAGTTTCATGCTCCACAACTGCATACCTTACTAATACATGTCATAGTGGTCACAACTTACACAACCACACAAATATACACATATCAACTATCCACACCTGTGGATATGTTATATTACATCAAAAGCTAGTATGCACATGAAAAACATTCTCAAACCATTTTTACAAAATAGGTGTGGATCACTGGCCAAAATCTGAAGTAGTCGTCCAAGCACATAATAGTTGACCACCATACCTAATCTTGCCTTCAATTCTTGCACAGCTCTCACCTATATACTTATCTACTGATGCTGCTGATGATGATCTGCTTACACATGGCATAAGCAGAGAAAAAGGATAAAGAGGGTCAGCTCATGGAAAAGTGAGATAATCACAGCATCGTGAGTTCATAACAGAGCATACTCCTATCATACATCTAGCAAACAAGCTAAAGCACCAGGATCAGACCTCAGCCATCCAACATCCCAATAGGCAAAAGACTCAACCACCTTGACTTATGCATATGCATCTTATCATGTTTTAATCATAGGCACCTGGCTACTCCCATGGTAATAACTCTCTGGGGCCACCATACACACCCAACATCCAGTAGGATGTGATCATACATACATACCCCCATACCACCATAGGTGAAACCATACCCGACACCACTCTAGGTGTGGTCATATCTCGTGAATAATCTTCAGTCACCACCACATGAGAGGTGTGACTATCATGCATATCATAATCTTCAGTCAGCACCACAAGAGAGGTGTGACTATCATGTCTTACCAGAGTAATAGCATGGGGAGCCCTGATTACTATGTAATTGACCGTGAGACCAAAATACTCATATTTGGTATCCTTATACATGATTCACATCTCATCTTGCTTAATCATAATTCCTTACTTGCACAAGTACTTGACCTGACCATAATTGGCTCAACATAGGTAAAACATGAGTCGTATAATTGCACTTCCTCGGGACAAACCCCGTGCAAGTCATCCTCCTTAAAACATCATAATATCACCCTGGGAAGTTTATTTCCTACCACTTGTGAATCCAAATAAAACCACAATATCACATCATGTCAAAACACCTGATCAAACAACCATGAAGTCATATCAACAGTTAAGCCACAAATGACAACATGTAAGCAATCATCAACATAAACAAGGTCCATATCGATTAGGGCAAGTCAATAATATCATACAGCAGTCCAGGGTTCAACATATAGCACAAAAGTTCATACACCCCTAATCTTTCCATTCTAGTTCACCTAGGTCAATTCTAAGCATCAATATAATTATCGTGATACGACAAACCCGGTAAGCCGTGCTAATCCCTCACGAGTTCTGGTCGTTCAAACTCCCGGTTCTAGCCTCCCGTACTAAAACGTCAATTTCACGAACGAACCCCAGAATTAAAATCCGAGACCGTCCTAATATCCCATGCAGTGTCCTCGTCATTGTTAGTTCTATGGTCGGGATCAAATTCTCGATAAAAACACATCAAACCCTAGCCGGAGCTAAATTCAGGGATTCCGGCTCCGACCTAAATAATAGCTTAAATTCATGGATTACAACCAGAGGATTAATTACATAGCTGCAAGAAGCTTGTATATGAAATCTGGGCTTAATCCGGCTTCCGGATACTCCAAAACCCTAATTCCTTCGATTGGAAACTCAAGAAATTCCTAATCCAAAAACTCGTTTTAAATCTCTAAATCGATAAACTATGATGTATGAATGGATTAGGCATTACTTAAGGAATTTTTTGATCACTGGAACTCAAGAATTGAGCTTTGAAATTTTACTACAGAGCTCGTCTGCGTGCTACTTCTCACTCTGTTGCTCTCGACCGGAAATGGAAAAGAATGGAATTAAAGAAGACGGGGAAATAGTTACAGGTGGGGGAGGAGATTTAAGATAACGGCTCCCACCGCTTACTTTTCCATTTTCCTTTTCTTTTACATTTCCTTTTATTTAATTATATAATATATAATTAATATGTATATTTATCCGATCTATCGATATTTCGATTTTCGTCGAAATACTATCAAAACACTCAACTTAAATCGCATATCTTTCAAACGACCGAAATATGGGTTTAGCCGGATCAGGTGTTACAAACACAATGCCCTCTCGCACCATAAAATGCGACTTCTCCTATCTCAAAGCTAAATTAGTGTCTTCGCATCGCTCAAGGACCTTCTCGAGGTTGGCAAGACGGTGAAGGAATAAATCTTCGAATACCGAGAAGTCGTCCATGAACACCTCCATTATCTCCCTCCGACGAGCTTATAAAAAAAGGCTACCATGCATCTCTGGAATGTTGTTGGGGCATTGCACAATCCAAACGGGATGCGCCTGTAAGCAAATGTTCCGAAGGGGCATGTGAATGTTGTCTTGGCTTGATCTTATGGGGCAATTGGGATATGGAAGTATCCTGACAACCCGTCTAAGAAACAGTAGTAATCATGTCTAGCAAGCCTCTCCATGATTTGATCGATGAAGGGAAAAGGGAAGTATCCTGACGGCGAGTGGTGGCTAGGAGTCGGAGAAGAAGAAGATGAATTGACTCCAGGAGTTGGAGAATCACCTTCTGACGACGATGATGACAACGACGACGAGGAAGGATCTGACGGGGACGCTGTTTCTGTTATCACCAATACCAACAGCGACTGGTCGGAGACAATTCAAACTCTCATCTCTCCTTCCTGTTCCTCCAGCCCCCACCGCCAACAGCAACAAGAATCAAATTTCTCCCAAATTTCTCCCTTGCCGAGCCCTTCCTCCTGGTCTTCCACCACTTCTTTTGTTATTGCTATGCTTTTGGTATATGAAAAGCCAGGGAAAGTGTGTTTGAGAAAGTGACGACGCTAGCCTATTATTTGGATGGGTTGGAGACACCAAGACATTAGTTCGCAGTTTTGGGAGTTCGCATCGCCGTCAAGCTGAGCTTGCGCGGCCACCGCCGGGTCAATTAGTCTTCAGTTTTGGTGTGTGCGGCATAGGGAAGAAGTAAGGCAGAATTTTGTGGCGGTGATGAAATAGAATAAAAGAGCTCCTTTTTTCCACGTATAAAATAGAATAATTAAGTGGGTAAGTTGCAATTAAAAATAAGTTTAAATTATTTTAATAAATATCATATTATTTATTAGTTAATAATGAATTATAAATAAATAAAATTATTATAACCGTTAGATGTAATCAATGGATAAGATTGACCAGAAAAGTAAGTGCATTCAGTGCACCCAAAAAAGCGGGTGTACCGAAGTGGCCACCTAATATATATATATATATATATATAAATGTTACTCGACTTCAGATTAGGTAAAGTCAAGTAACTAGATAGTGTTCAAGACTGTATTTCCCCGTAGCTTCTTCCATAGATTTTTCTTGTAAGTTAATTTTCAAATTGCTTTCTAGTTCAGTTATTTCTTTCCACGTTGACGTCTGTCGCCACACTCCAATCATCGGCGTCGAGCCGGCGACATCCTCATTCAAACTTCCATATTGACGCTTGTGGCCACCCTTCCAAATACTCATACTAGCTTTCACATCTTAAATTAGTGTTGACTTTACCTCTTGCAACTGCAAGCTACAAAATGATATTTTCCGTATATGAGTTTAATCGAGAACAATCTTTGGTATAAGGTGAGTGACTAGTTTATGAATAATTGCTTAATCATGTACATAAAAAAGATTTGATTGCAACCTAATGGACAAATATAATTACGAAATTTGTTAGAATATGAAACTCGTCGTGGTTCACTGTAAAAAATAATGAAATTGGTGAACTTTATGAATAAAAGTTTTATGTTTATTTTAAATTATTTTAATTAATTAAATATTTTTAAATTATTTTTATTCGCCGACACACCTATCCTAAAATTATCGGTCTGCCACTGGATTAAACTCACACGTAACTGTGAATTCCCAAAATATCCCCTAACTAATTAAAACCCAACCCCAACCCTAATCTCTCGTTCCACTCGGCAACTCCAAAACCCCATCTGGAAATTAGTGTTCTTCCGCGAGAATATAGCTACAATAAGTAGCAATACATGGAATCCCATCATCCCCATCGACCAAGGCTCCTGCAACAACAATTGAAACAAATAAATTCACACAGCGACGAAAACCAGAAAGCTTGGGAAAATGAGCATAGCTTCAGAAACAGAGAGGAAGAGAGTACCGTCCAGTCAATGGCGTGAAAGAAACCCATGAAATTCTCGTAAGCCGGCTGGAGTCCGGATCGTAGCTCGGAAGAGAGCTTCGGAACCAGATCCGCCATTTGGTCCAAGTGCTGGTCCATGGCCGATTTCAGAGCTTCCATTTTTGCTTGTCGCCAGTAATTCCCCGCTGAACTGAATTGAAGAAGGAACTCGAGATCGTTACCCACCTAACTAACTCTCCGAGGACCGGCTTGAGATCTAGCAATGCAGAGACTTGGCAGAGAGGAATTCGCGATTTGCTTCTTCACTTTCTCGTTTGAATCGACGGCGGAGAAGGGCGGGGCTGATAGTGCACAGATCGGGCTGGAGGAGTCAACGTGGAATAGTTGGCAGGGACTGGGGAAATGGGAGTATAAGGAAGGCGGTGTTGCCGGCATGGAGAAGGTAAGATCTCGAGCCCCATAAGCGATTAATTGGACGTGTTTATGTTCTGGACATTCTGGTGGGATTGGTTAGGTGGAATGAACCGGTTGTTTGTGATTTATTATTAGATTACTTGCACAAAAGGTTTATATATGGGCATATATGCATACGAGTCACGTTGGGTACAGAAGCAAGCCACAGTTGCTTAGTTATATTATGGGTGGTAAAGAAGCAAGATTTATTTATATGGACTTGAGTGGAGGATATGAATGGATTTTGGTGGATTACAAGCAAAGTCAGCTACAGTTGCTTAGTTATGTTATGGGTGTTTAGTTGTTCGTACAAAGAGAAGTGGAAGCTAGGAATGGGTCTAATTAGTTCACATGGGTCAAGGGCATTAGGTTGCAAATTAATTTAATCTATTCCATTTACTAACTATGGGATACGTTCTGGATGAGCTGAACAATTCGGCACAACGAGGTTAAGACATTTGCGTCTAGCAGGGGACAAATAGCAAACCAATCGAGCTTATGGATCATAATCTTCGCCTATGAAATAAGGTGAGTGTAAAGGGGTAAGTTCTACGCCTTACGTATTCTTTTAAGTATTATGATTTTGAGGATTTTAGCGAATTGGTTACCGTTGCTTGGTTATGTTTATGGTTGCTTATTTGTGCTTTGCTTTAGCTATGAGTTGAGGTGATTTTGTGTTATTTACCTTAAAACGTTATGTTTGAGCTATGGTTAAAGTTTAAGAAACAAGTTCTTTTTAAGAAGTAACTCACCTTCAAGAAGGTGAAGTCGTTTTAAGTGTTTTTAGTCACTAGCACCAGTCCGTTGCCTTTTGAGACATTTTGAGATAGAGCAGAAGTTATGCTCTTGAGACTTTTAAGATGAGCAGCAATTATGCTCTTGAGAATCGTGGTGAAGAGCCACCACGACAAGTTTAAGATGTTAGGGGGATGAATCGTTACGACTCCCCTAATAAGTTTAAGTTTAAGGAAACCTGGATGGCTTCTCATACAAATGAGTTGGCAACCGGACTAGCTAGTGAGGGATCCCAGTGTCAATCAAATATTTAAGTCGATATTTGAGCTTTAAGAGAGGAGAGTAACTTCAAATCCCTCAGAGTTTAAGAGTTCAGATTTTAAGATTGGAAGTACAAACAACTTCCACTCAGTTAAGTAAAGTGATCAAGTATTAACAAGATTTTAAACGTAAGGGCGTAGACTGACCCCATCTCACTCACCAGGCCTTAGTAAAGGAATGAACGAGAACCAGATCGGTAGCAGCTAGCTAGAGGAGCAGTTAGAGAGCAGCGAGTTCGAGAGAAAAAGTTTGAGGGCAGACAGCTAGAGGAGGGCAATGCAAGCGTCACGGAGGATGCCTAGTTAAGTTTTTCAGTAGATGCAACGACAGAAACTACCTAGTAATTTGCATTTTATGATTATGAGTATAGACTGGAGATTAGATTGAGGTTTTAAAGTTTGAGTTTAATTTGCCCACGTGTTAGGGCTTTGCTTTGAACTACAAGTGTGTGTTTTGAGTATTTTATTTATCAAGGGCATTTTAGTAAAAGTAGTACCCGGCCGGGTTAGGGTGTTACATAAGGTGAGGATGATTTGCATTTTTTATTGATTTGCTGAAATTGGGCGAGGAGTTTGATATATGATAATCATTTTCATGTATCTAGACTGGATTAATTCTTGTTTGTACCTTCGTGGCCAAAATTATGCAGGTTATCGCTGTTAAATTGGAAATGCCCACCAAGTGCTTGATTAAATGCTTAGTCTTGATACCACGTTGTGATTGTTGAATGATGGCCATCAAGGCATATGATCTACGATTGAAAATGCAACCTACTTGATCTATGAAACACCTAGTTTCATGTGGTGAAAAGCTTTTGGGATAATTGATCTTACTTGATTGTGAATCGACCTTGTGAAAAGCTTATGTCGGCTTATCACCTATGTTGGAAATTAAGTGTGAGGGAGTGATGCTTCTCCCTGTTGTGCTTTGTTAGATGATTTTCCATGTACGGTGTCTGAAGGATTGGTGTTTCTATAGGATGGTTGATGCCATGCACCCATACATTAACCATTGGTGGATCACCCCGACTACGGGGATCGCTACGATTCATGGAGGAACGGGGACATTGGACCCCAATGGTGGCTCAACCACGACATGTTTGGGCTTTTCCACTGCCAGCATGCAATCTCAACAGTCATCGTTCATCTGCAATGGCACCAGTTACCCAACATTGATGAGATCATTTATCGAGAGCTATGCTTGGAGTTCTACTCCACTTACAGGGATGTACAGCACCGAGGACGGCAAGCTCGGCCATATATCCAGTTTAGTTTGAGTGGAGATGTCATCACGATCAGGATGACGCACTGGACCAAGCTTTCGGGCTCAACAAGGCGAGCATGAACATGACGTTGCTAGAGTATAGCCGGAATGTGGATCTCTAGCATGTCTTTAAGGCGTTCTGCCTGGAGGAGCACCAATGTTAAGGGTTTCAAGTGGGGCACACGAGGGCGACTCAGTTCCTACCCTAGTGGAGGATCCTCCACATGTTGCCAACAAACTCTGTGGTTCCGATTATGAAAGCTCAGTAACATGCGACCTTGGGAGGGATGGTGACCCTCCATTGTTTGAGCGAACCGAGGGTGTCCCTCCATCTAGGAGCAGCTGTGGCAAGCTCATTCTTGAGGATCTTGGGCCGGGTGTGCGTCTACATGATGTATATGGGCTCCACCATCAATCTTCCAATGAGATTTTACGGGGTGGACACGACCATTTGCATGATGGTGGGTCGGGCAAAGATATACCCGATGGAGACACTCCACCATATGGGTTTGGTGAGTGCAGAGAGAGGCATCGAGTACATCGATGGCTGTTGACTTTCAACCCACTTCCAACCAGTGGTAGAGGAGGTTGGATAGTCATTCTAGAGGGGTCCACTAACGCGCCGATGAGGCCACACCAGTGTATCTCCCTCTTCATCAGAAGCCGGCCCTTCTTCCTCGAGCAATATTGAGGCCTGAGTCACTGCACTTGAGATCAGAGTATATGGTTTCTCTCATCCATTCGACCGAGAGCGTGACACATGGCGACATTCACACTGCATGGAGGAGGAGCTCCTACACTCTCAAGGCATCCAATTGCAAGACCCTCATTAACATCCTTCACCATCTCACCAGGGGCAGCTACCACAGGACCACGACCACTCATGCGTGCCATGTGGGCAGCGTAATACCATCACTCCACTACTCTCTCCATTTTACTCTATACTTTTGTTTCTTTCTCTTTTTAATGGGTGATTGTGAACTACTTAGTTCGTTTTTCGTTTTTACTCAAAATTTAAAAAAATTAGGGGTTCCAAACACATTGTCCCATGCATTATTCCTACTCACTATGCTTTGAAAGTTTTGATGTTATAATTGTGTGCATTATATGGAGTAGTTTGGTGCTATAGAGATTATTGATCATGAGTAGCTTCAGTTCTATTTCCTCTTCGATGTGTTGAGACTATTTAATATCAAGATTAGGACATTTGCGCTAAACTCTCTCCCAAAATTTTGGACTCCAAAATGTTTTGCAAAAAGGTTCTCCAACTTGAAAAACTATTTTGTAAAATGAGTGTTCTCACGTGAGAGGCAATCGGGGTATTTGAGTTAAGCAGTCAAAGGAGTTTTCTCTTGGTATAGAGTGCCATTTGAGGATGTGTCTAGGGATCGGGTACTTTTTTAGCATCCGGCCATCGTCATTTTCTACCTTTCAGCCCCTACACCTCTCCTCCTCACGGGAATTATATGAGAGGAGAGAGTGTGCCCCTACACAGGTCGGGAGAACTCGACTCTCATTTGTACCTCACATGTGTGGCAACTCGTCTAACGTTGAGACGGGAGAGTAGGCTAGAAATTGGTGCTTGAGAGATCTCACTAACTTCCAACGCCTCACCTTTTCCAGTATTCCATCCTCTCAACCATCACTTTCTTCACATAAGGCTTAGAAAGAAAAGTTAATGTACTTTTGCTCTTAGCCCCAAGAGAGAGAAGCATTGTTTGCAAAAATACCAGTGTGGTGCCATGTGCGGCTGTGTTAAGTTGAGGCAGGAAAAGTAGCAGCACCACCATGGAGTCCTCTTTCAAAAAAGTAGCAGGACTACCATGGAGTTCATTTCTTTTCATGTTTTATTAAGAGTCCCTCTGTGAAATCTCTAGACCTCTTTAGTCGACAAGGTCCTCGTCAGGGAGTTTGTGTTGTCACATAGAGATGGAAGTAACGTTTTCTCGTTTCCGATTGACTTTGAGGTGCTACCAACAAACTCTAGTGCATACCATTGTCAGTTTCTTGCATGTTGCACTAGTGTGAGTTTGTTTTGCTTGGGGAAAAGCAAACAACTAAGTGTGGGGGAGTTTAATTTGAACCATCCTATACATATTTTTACCTCTTTGACTTGGTTGTTTGACTTGTTTAGCATCGTCCTTGGAGCTATTTTAGTCTAGGCTTTGCAATTTTTTAGTATGTTTAGCACGTAAAATGGGTGAGAGAACTGAAATTCGAACGAAAGGGATCGAAAATGGAGCAAAACGTTAAAAAGTGTCCAAATCATGATTTGGAGATTAAATGGGCATTAGACCGTGAAGATTACAAGGAGGTCGTGAAACTTGCAAGTTTCATGGAGCTTTTATTTGTTTCACAGGTAATGCGTGGATCACGGTCCCAGACCA